ACACGTGACAATCCTCACTAATTGGCCGCGTCGGGTGGAGGTGGTTTCACATTTTACATTTACGCGATCTCACCCCAAAGTCGCCCCCCCACAGCGACCGCCGCTCCCTTACCGAGCGCCGTTTTGGCGGACGGCGGTTATAGCGGATCGCGGCGGCGTGGAGAGCGCTCGCGATCTGTGAAAGCGGCCCCCCCCCCCGCTCGCTCAGTGTTCATCCTCACTTGGTGTCTGGACCCCGCTCCGCGAGCACCCGCGCAGGATTGGCGCTGTGAGCAGCGCAACACTGGACCCGCTCGCCCCCAGAGTAGACATCTGTGGGGGGGTGGGGAGTGAAAAAAAAGAGCTCATTGGGTTCCTCCAGTCGAAAGTCTCCAGTCTAAAGTCTAAAGTTTCTGATTCGGATTCTGATGCAGGTGGGTCCAGCGCAGTAACAGCAGTAGCATGTGCAGAAAATTAAACGCTAAAAATCAGTAGAAATCCTTGATTTCTTTAATAATATGTTTCACCTTAACTACACTTTTGCCTTTCTGTTGGCTTGGCGAGTCGGTCCGCGGACGATATTAATTCGAGTAAATGTGCAATTTTTGTGAGGTTTCTTTTTTTGCACGGGGTCTGAGTGGGCTGGGGTGGGGGGGTAGTTTGAAACTGATCTAACGGTGGGCGAGCTCGGGTTGAGCAACGTTCACCATCTTCGGTGATTTCACTTGAAGCTGCAGATGAGAGAGGGGAGCCTGCCGCGGGGTTCGGCGTTTGCTGTCAAATTAGCGGGGCAACTGTGGCAGGGGAACCTCGGTGTGACCCTGCTGTTTGCGATGTCGTTGCCATGCATCCTCGGCACACACGTGCACAGACTCGGCCGCACGGGGCCATGTGCATGTACTGCAAACACATACAAAGACAAAGATCCCCGTATAGCCTTTGACCGACTGTTGGGGCAAGTGCTGTTAGCTAGCACCTACGAAGGCCGGCACGGCACACGAGCGGGTGGGTGGCCAGAACCACGCCCGGCCGCCTTTGTTTCCCTTGTGGCGACATTTACACACCGCAACAGGTACTCTATTGAGGCTGAGTCGACCTCGGGGAGGCCCGGGACCGGTTCAGATAATCGTCACTGGCGTTGGCCACGAGCGGGAATCGAACTCGGGTGCCTGGGTTTGTAGCGCGGCGCGCTAACCGCTACACTACCGTTCCCCATGCAAACACATACATGCGCACACACACACGCACATAAACAAGAACAAACACACAAAACGAAATCCACAGTCTATACCCATGTACTGCTTGCACACGTGCATCCACTTTACAGCTGGCAGCTCACTGGTGCAGCAGCAGCAGCAGGCAGCTCAACTTGCAATGCCCGCTGCCGAATTGGATCCAGCGAGCCCTCGCAATCTGCCACGGCGGTGTCAGCCGGCGAGAGCGCTCTCCGCTTGTGCTGTGTGCGGCGGCGGTGGGGCGTTAATGCTTTAATTGCCTCGCGAGCACTTGCCACGGCCGGCCTTCCGCGGCATCAAACACTCGCAGCCAGGCGCGACATTTACTTAACCCTCTCTTCTCCTCCTCGTGCTACTGCTGCTGCTGTTCCTCTTCCTCCTTATTGTTGACGGGGGGAGGTGGGTGGAAGTCCCTACACCGCTGCTGCCAGCCGGCCCTTAGCCCCCACACGCCACCGCCGTCGCCTCTCCGTCCCTCCGATCGTGACGCACGGGAGGGCACGCGTCGGAGTGCGCGCTGACGGCTCGCCCCCCGGCTCGACTCTGCGAGCCCCTCGGGGCGACCGGTGGCGGAGTCGATGCCCCCCCCCCTGGGGGCCCCGCAGCTCGCCGGACCTTTTGAATGGGAACGTACGTCGCACGCGACCGCCGATGCGCGTCTCCTGCGTCTCGACTCGCTGCGTGCCCGCCCGCGTGCGTGCGTGCGGGAGCGCGCGAGTTTTTTCTCCCCCCCGTGTTTTTTTTGAGCGGTCATGTCAGTCGCGATGCTCTCAGCTGCGCGGAGAAGTCATGTTCCCCCTTGCTTACTCTGGCCTGGGGTGGTGTTGGCAGCGGTGTGTGCTTTGCGAGAAGATCTCACCGCGTGCGCCAGGCTCTCTTAACCCTCTTCAGCTGGACGGTCCCCCGGCGTCCGTCCGTACGTTCGTGTGTGGTATGTGTGGTGTGTGTGGTTTTTAATATATAAACAATGTCTATTTCACCCTCCACTTCCCCTACTCCTCCCTCCGGCTAATGTCAAGATTGTGCCATTGCCGTCGAACTCTTCTCTCATCACAACCAGTGCCAAAGTCAAGTATAAGTTACACAGCTTTTATTCGGATACACAAGCGGGTCACGTTCATCAAAAGAGTTGAAGGGTTCTTGCCCGACAGTGGTGTTATCACTGCTGACAACCAATGCCAAACTCGGTGTTCTGCTCAAAGATGAAAGCTTGCATTCACAAACACAAGTGTCGCACACTCTTGAGAAAGAGTAACTGAAAAATGTCTTCAATATAAGGTTTCATCTCTTCTTAACCCACCCGGCACACGAGGTGCCGTGCCGGCCTTCTTCGGTGTTACTCGCTAACAGCACTTGTCCCACGAGACTGTTCAGGCTATACGGGGGATCTTTGTATGTCTGTGTGTGACAACCGTACGTGGGTTTGCATAGCAGTGGAAGACGCCCCTGTGTTTGTTCAGTAAATGGATGCGGAGCCTCCGCTAGCGGAGCTGCTGAAGCTGCAGCTCCAGCTCACGTGTGAAGGAGTCACTTCCAGGGATCGAACCTCTCCCCCACCCTGATCACCCCCCCCCCCACACCCTGATCACCCCCCCCCCACCCTGATCACCCCCCCCCCACACCCTGATCACCCCCCCACACCCTGATCACCCCTCCCCACCTCCCCCCCATCACCTCTCCCCACATCCCCCCCCACCTCCCCGATCACTTCTCCCCACCTTCCTCCCACTCTGATCACCCCTCCCCACCTCTCCCCACCTCCCCCCCATCACCTCTCCCCCCATCCTCCCACCCTGATCACCTCTCCCCCCATCCTTCCCATCACCTCTCCCCCCCCCTCCACCCCATCACCTCTTCCCCCCACCCCCCCCTGATCACCTCTCCCCACCTCCCCTCTCCCAACCACCCCTCTCCCATTCCGGATCAGGTTTAAGGCTCGGCCGCCTTGTGACCCTCACCGCCGCCGCTGTGCCCGCGCGTTACGTCCTGTTTGCTGTTTTTCTTTTGTGTTTCGGGAGACAAATTTGTTTTGAACGGTGTTTTGGTTCTTCACGAACGCCCACCTCCCCCCCCCCCCACCTCCGGCTTCCTGAGCCACCCAAGCAAACAGTCACCGAGGCAGATGTGTTTCTTTCTGCCGCGTTCTCGGCCCCCGGATAAGGGGGATAGAGGCCTGCTCCGTGTGCGTCTCGCTTACCGCCTCGATGTTAACAAAGGAACTCTTTCACTGCCTGGACGATGCACTGCGCTCGGGATGCAAACGCTGAGGGGCGGGTTGGGAGCCCCTGTGACTTTGTCCCAAGCAGGTGCTCCGTGAAGTGCTCGCACTATCCATCTCTGGTTGAAAGGGTCAATGCGCTCGCTGTGCCCGTCCGTCTATCTGTCGTCTGGAACATTGGGTCACGATAATTCTCGTAAACGTGTGACCCCAGCGTAAATGATCCGTTGGTACGGCGTTGCGTTGCGGTGCTATGATGGAATTGGCCCAGACAAAATCGGGCAAATTGATCAAAGGGCAAATCAATAAAAACCCAGTGACAAATAGGTAAAGCTTCTCGGCCAACGTGATGAGTCCACACGACACGCGTGCGCCGCCGCTCCTGGTGATGTGATCACGTGTCGATGTCTTTTTTGAGGAATTAAATGCTCTACTTACGAGGTTAAATGGGCGCTGGAAAGCATTACAGAATCCATGGGTATGCACGGTTTTTCTTCCTTGTTTATAAGATTCGTGCCCTGCCCCCTCCAAAATAAAGGGCAACGAATTACTTAATATTTTTACACAGATTCTTATAAATCACCACTCGGTCTGTGAACTCTCAAGTCTGCAGGACGTTAACACTTCCACTCTCGCGCCACAATCTCATAGCTACTTTAAATAATGTTCCTATTTATTTTACCAGGTAAATCCCACTGATCTATATAGCCCTTGTTGAGACGTTGACGTGGCCACAATCGATAGCTCAACAAAGTGGCTCATCGTGTGGAAAATTCTAGCAGCTTAATAGTCTAAACACGTTATGAGACCTCCTTTACCAGTGGCAAAATATAGTGATAGGTTTTTACCCTTTAAACTGGTACAAAACTGACACCTTTATACAAGGCATCATGTTTGCAATAACCACAACACAAGCAGTCAAAATGCAAACAAAAAGAAACAACTCTGATAATGGTAATGATATGCACTGTCGTTGAAGTTGATTGATCCACACCCGAGACAGCTTTCCTTAGAGCCTAGTGTTGGTGTTGGACCAGATGACGCAACCTGCATTTTGACTGCTTGTGTTGTGGTTATTGCAAACATGATGCCTTGTATAAAGGTGTCAGTTTTGTACCAGTTTAAAGGGTAAAAACCTACTACTAGTCTAAACACGTGTTTCTAAAGGTGGAGGGAAAAACCGGAAGACCCAAAGAAAAATCCTTGCGACCACTGGGAGGACATGCAAACTCCATGTATTCAGATGTCAGGGTCGGGATCGAACCCACGACTTTCTGCATATCGGGCGAGGTAGTTAACATCTCGCCGCCGTGGTGCTATTAATTTCCACATGACAAGCCACTTCGTTGAGCTATTATTTGTGGCCAGGTCGCTTCCGAAAACGAGCTATATAGCTTAGTGGGCCTTACCTGCTAAAATAAAAAGTTGAGTTTTTAATTTTCCACATTCATGAACCGGAGCGGTTTGCTTCTCGGTGGTTGTGGAGACGTTGACGCGTGATAGTTGGCGGAGCGTGACGCGTGACGTGTGTGTGTGTCTGCGTGTGTGTGTCTGTGCGCGTGGTCCAGGTGTTGAGGCTCTGCGTGGGTACCAGGTGAACCTCCAGGGCCTACGCGGGGACTTTGGCTACTCCAAGTGCGAGCAGATCCTGCTGGACAATCCGCTCACCGCTGCCGACGTTGACAAGGTTGGATTGCGGGTTAACATCCCCAGCGTTTAACAGTACTCTCCTTTTTCGTATTTGATTGTCAGCCAACACTGGTAAAAACAACATGGGCATTTTCGTTCTCTTCTATCATGTGCACCAACAGGTGCTTGTGCACTAACAGGTCCACGTACACGTACTCCTCATCCTCTCTTTTAGCCCCCCCCCCCTCCAATACGTCATCATGTGCACCAACAGGGGCTTGCACACAAACACGTCCACGTCGACGTCTACGTACACCTCTTTTAGCCCCCCCCCCCCTCCCAATACGTTCCATTCATTGGCTACCACATTCTGATAAGCTCCCCCCCCTCCCCATTAACTTGTAGTAATAATAACAACAACAATTTAGAAACTTGTGTCGGTCCACTGCTGGATGAAGGCCTCTGAAGGGGGGGGGGAGGGTGCCATGGTGGCAAGATGTTAACTACCTCGCCTGGTATACAGGACATCGTGGGTTCGATCCCGACCGCGACCCTCATATTTGGAGTTTGCATGTCTCTCTTCCCGTGGCTGGACTTTTCTCCGAGTCTTCCGTTTTTTCCCCTTCACATTTAGAATCGACATGCGTTTAGAGTAATTTGGCTGCTTTAAATTTCCACATGATGAGCCACTTTGTTGAGCTATCGATCGTGGCTAGGTCGCTTCTAAAAAAGAGCTATACATAGCTCAGTGTGGGCCTTACCTGGTGAAAAAAATAGTCGGTAGTTAAAAATCGTTTCCGCTGTGTTCTCCGCAGGAGTTCGTTTACGACGGCTTCGACTACCTGCAGTTTGGAGCCGACTACTACATCACGGTGGACCCGGTGCCGTTCCCTGCGAGCGGCGAGCGCGAGTTCGCCGCGGTGGAGTTCACCGCCCGCTGTGAGTTCCAGCCTCTGCTTCTGAGCGAGCGTGAGAGCGCGTGAGAGAGCGTGAGAGAGCGTGAGAGAGCGTGAGAGAGGCAAGCGAGTCAGTGATTGCGGGGAGCACGACTGCAGCAGGTTGGCGCATCGGGCTACGAACCCGGTGACTCGAATACAATTCCCACTCATAGCCAACATGTATCTATATTGAACTTCTTTCGCACCATACATAGCCGACCTTGCTAATACGAGGTGCTCAAAATGCTTTAACGTTCTGTACACACGCGAGTCACTCTGGTTCGTGTGCTCAGTTCCTATTCAGATTTTTTTTTTCCTTTATAATCCGCATTTTGAAACCGACAAATGCAAGAAGTACCGTTATGAAATGCGTGGTTGGTCAGTGTGGCCGCAGGAAGGTTCGAATAGTCACTAAATTAATTCTAGATTTTAAGCTTTCGTGACTGCAAAGATTCATACTCTTAGGTTTTTTTCGGTAAAGTCACGTAGGTAAAAAAATAATAAATGACAATAAATCAATTAAATCACGACGTTTCGGAGGCAACACAAGCTTCCTTCATCAGGTGTAAAAAAAAAAAGGCACAGCTGTGCCTTTTTACCTACGTGACTTTACCGATAAAAACCTAAGAGTATAGTCACTAAATTATTCCATCATGTGGATCCCGTGTCACCTCTGTTTGTCCCTATGGGTGTGCGATGGGGCGGGGGGGGGGGGGGCTCCGGTTTTTTTTGTGGAGCCTCTGATGGAAATTGCTGGAATCTCATGGTCTTCAGTGGCCTCCTTGGGTCTTGGGATTGGGTGGTGGTTCCGTTGATTCTCCTTTGGCTTCTGATGGTTTCTACGCGGCTCCCGCTTCGCCCTGGTTAACGGCGATAGCCCCAGTCGGGCGGCACGGCTCCCGCGTCTCCGCAGAGGTGCAGCGAACAAGTCCAGTTTGCGCTCGCGCTAAACGCGGCGCCTTTGGACCCAGGTCACCCTCCAACGGCGTAGCGTGGCAGGAGGCATCGGGTCCCCCTGGGGCTAGGAATGAAATGGGGGGGGAGGGGTGGGGGGGTGGTGGGGTGCTGTCCCTGTCCCTCATTGTAGCACGGTGCCTGGACCTTCTCGACACGCCGCACCTCCTGCACATTGCAGAGCTACAACCCAACTCGTACCGCCACAGCTCTTGGCGAGTTCTCACCCACCACCTCCCCCCCCCCCCAGGTTGAACGGTGGTGCAGCTGGGCTTAGTGGGGACCCGCCGGGTGGGGGTGGGTGAAGGGTGCGGGTGGGGGGGGGGGGCAGGTTGGGGACATGTGGCCCCGATGTAATGGGGCGGGCGGACGGGGCGACGGGGCAGCTCTTTTCATGACGCATCAAATGGGAAGCGACAGGGGGGTGGGGGGTGGGTGGGGGGCGATTTAATGCACGCAGCGGCAGGGCCGACGCGCAATAACGCGGCCTTTGTTTGCCATCCTCAATCGCTGGCTGGCCGCGATCCTAATTGGGTGCAGAGCAGGGGTTGTTTGTGATGCCTTTGAACCCTTGCTCCCTTTCCACCCTGTTGAGCGCATGTCGCGTTCTCTGGGCCCCCCCACCCCCATTATCAGCCCCCCCCCATTGTCAGGGGCCCCCTCCCATTGTCAGGACCCCCCCCCCCCAATTCTCAGGCCCCCCCCCTCACATTGTCAGGACCCCCCCATTCTCAGGGCCCCTTGCCCCCCCCCCCCACTCACATTGTCAGAGCCCCCTGAATGCCGAGCCCTCTCTCGGTGCGCTCCACTCGCCGGCTCGGCCGCGGTCGATCTGACTGCCGCGACGTTTGATGCCTGGAGACGTTGGGGGAGGGGGGGGAGGGGGGGCAAAGAGAGCCGCGTTGGTAAATTTTGCGAGGAGGTGCGTCGACGTGGATAATGGTGCGTGGCGCACGGATAACGGCTGAGCTTTGGTTTTTGTTGTTACAGCCAGATCGCAGGCGAGGTGGTGCAGCAGGAGGAGGAGTTAAGGGGTCATTAGATAGGGTCGCCACAGTGGTGTGAGATGTTAACTACCTCGCCTGCTATACAGGAGGTCGTGGGTTCGGTCCCGACCATGACACCTGTATATAGGAGTTTGCATGTCATCCCTGTGTTCGCGTGGGTTTTTATACCGGTCTTCCGATTTCCCCCTCCACATTTAGAAACATGCATTTAGAGTATTTGGCTGCTATCAATTTCCACGCGATAAGCCACTTCGTTGAGCTATCATTTGTGGCCAGATCGCTTCTGAAAAAGAGCCACATAGTTCAGTGACCTTTACCTGGTAAAATAGTTTATAATCACCAGGAAGGAAAACGCTCCCCAGAGGACCACCTCTGGGGGGGAGATGGAGCAAGGACGTATGCAGATGATGGATGGATGGATCGATGGATTGCGGTATCGAGATACCCCCCTCGAGAGACGGGCGATGGCTTGGTGCAGCCTCCCTCTAGCAGGGCATCAATCACGGCGAAGACGACGAAGAGCCATTGAGACCAGACGCGTGTCTCTGTTGAGAGAGTTTTAAAAAAATTCTAACTCATTGGCTTACGTGGACAGCAAATCTTTCCCCACGGAATTGCCCAGATAATGTTTGCAGCAGACATTTCTCTTACGTAACTGTTATGGTTACGTCTAAGTTACGGTTCCTCTGCAATGACGTGTTTGTTTACCAAAGATATTCTCTCATACTTTCAAGACTCATTTTGCATGAGCGGTCCTACTTTGGCAGAATGACCCAGAGGAGTGCTTTGGCACTAGCTGTGTTTTTAAAAGTGAAGTATTGAGCAAAACTCAGACATACCGATAGGAATAATAATTTCAGTGGAATCTGGATATAAGCTCACCTTTTATAAGCACAGTTCAGGTATGAGCAACATCATCGCAATATCGCACTGGTTGTGTAGAAGGTGAAGGGTGTCTCTAACACAAGCACACTACTTGGGATATAAGCACAGCCGGCCTTGCATCCTGAGACGTGTGCTTATATCCAGCTTCCACTATAATAATGCATTCATAATGTAAAAAAACAAACACGTGTTGACCATCCCACCTTGCACGGCTTCATAGCACCAAAGGCCTCGTTAGTCGTATCGGTGAACTTTGGTTGACAAGTCACAGCGATCTCCATCAATACAGCGCTCACCTCCCGTGTATCACTCTGAGCCAGTGATGGAAATTCCACATTCCTATGGTAGCGGGTAAGTCTACCCATAGGACCAACCACTCTTGACTTCCCCACAAAGTTTAGTACTCCTTTTATCGCCCCCCGCCCCCCCCCAAAGTGTGACGATGGGCCGTGTCAACCTCCCCCCACCCCCACCGCCCCCTTGAGACAAGATTCGAACTCCTCGCAACCTTCCGATCTCCCCACCGAACAATCCCCGAATCCACACGCGGAGCAGTGCAGCGTCTCGGGAGGGTAGCGAGTCGCGTGTCCGGCCAGGCGTGTAGCTAAACACCACGCGAAGCCACACTGCCTCGCCCCTCCGTGCAGATGCCACCTGGACCCTGTGCTGCTGCTGCTGGCTATAGGCTGAGAAACCCGTAACGTCTTGAATGCAGAAACACGATAGCATCTCTCTCTCTCTCCGCTCGACTCGTAACTCTGATCTTAAGGAAGGGGGGGGGGGGCAGGAGGGGGCCTGGGTTTTGGCCGTGCGTGAGAGAGGCCGGGACCACCAACAATCGTATAAAAGGGGGTCATGGATGAGTGGGTGAGGAGGAGGGGGGGAGTGCACCCCGGGGGCTTTTGTTTGATATCTTTTGGCTTTTGTTAGAACCCAGCCACATGTGGGAGTCCCAAAAGTCGTGGCAGCAGTGTTCGTTCTGTGCAGAAGAAATATAATAATAAAGAAGAAGAAACTATTAAAGTTTTTTGTTTGTTACGTATGTCTATTGTATTTTTGCTGCTTGATATAAAGAGGGGAGCGTTTGCATAACTCGTGTTAGTCACGTGTAGCAGCCATTCTGTGTGCAACTTTGCTTGAGACGCACGCTCATCTATGGATAAACAAGTTGTTAAGTCGGTTAGACAAATATTAATATCTTGACTTTTAAAAAAACGCACGCAATAGTTGTGCAAAAAGTGGCACTAACTTAATAATACCTTTTTTTTCATCGATTGTGAATTTAAGATTTCACGTTTTTTCGTCTTATTAAGAGTTCAAGTTAACCACCACATAATTCGTGACCTCCCCCCCCCCCCCCCTTAACACATCTAATACTCAATCCCACGTTGGTTCTAGATTTGAAGCTTTCGTGACTGCAAGGATTCATATTCTTAGGTTTTTTTCGGTAAAGTGACGTAGGTAAAAAAATTTTTAAAATTTAAATTAATTAAAGTAAAATAAAATAAAAAATAAAATAAAAATCACGACGTTTCGGAGGCAACACAAGCTTCCGTCTTCAGGTGGAACCATCACAGCACGCTTGCTGATACAGCAAGCGTGCTGTGATTTTTATTTTATTTGTATTTTATTTTACTTTAAATAATTTAAAAAAAAATTTACCTACGTGACTTTACCGAAAAAACCTAAGAATATGAACCCACGTTGGTTAACATTGCATCTTTTGTGATACATAAGCACAAATAAAATCGAGCATCTAACAAGAACAACGGTGCAAATTCGAAGCGTGGCTGATGAGAAAACATCACCGTTTGGCGACTCTGCTGCCGCTGCGTTCGCAGCGATGCGCAAGCACACGAAACAGAAAGCGCCTCGCCACGCTTCGTGAATAACACCGTGTGTGTGGCCCTTACAAGGACAAAAAACAATCTGTAATTGGCGATATTTCTGCCAATGGCTCTTCAGAGCACATGTACGATTTTATGTTTTTTTTATTTTTAAGGAAGTGTAATCGACGAATGTGTTATGGGTTTGTTTTCTTTTCTGCTAATGAGAAAAATATGTTAACTCGTGCCGATTTATGTAAGAGGTCATAACACGCTTTCCGCTGACATTGCCCGCTCAGCCTTGAACTTTGAGTCGTGGCTTGTCTCGT